GGGGGGCGGGGGGGGGGGGGGGGGGGGGGGGGGGGGGGGGGGGGGGGGGGGGGGGGGGGGGGGAGGGGTTGGGCGGGGTCCACCCAGCCCGTGGGATGGGGGGGGGGGGGGCGTGTCGCCTGTTCTCGTGCGGGGTCATTTTCACGCCCGCTCGCGTTTCGCTCGCTCTGCTATCCTTGAGGAAAAATGGGGGACTACTCGTAGTCTAAGACTCTTTACGAACCCTGGAGTTATCAGATTGCGTTCTATGCATTCCATTCATTCGTAGTGGACGTCCAATCGAATGCTGGCTACATACGTACCAAGCATGCGCAAAAGCAACCTGAAGATTAGGATTGCGGCTGTTCTGATCGCCCGCAATAACCATTAAAATTTATTTGCAAATAATATTCATTTGCTGCGTATCAAAAACTGTCCGTAAAATGAAAGTAAAAATTGTACCCTAACCACCGAAATCGTCGTAGAAGTGATGCGTGTGTAATGTGAGAAGCATTAGGTAAATTCAACTTCATAACAGTACCCCCGGGGGAGGTACTTGGGCTAATTTTTGCTAGGTATGTGCCGCTGGCCCCACACTATTCTGTTGCCAATTATAGATCCCATCTTAGTCACTTTTAGGCTAATATAATTTTCGCGATCCCAAATTAAATAGTCACTTTGTGCTTCTGCATCTACCTTAACTAGGTCATCCTAAAATGAATTGACATTTTTTGTAAATTGAATGAAGAACACTGTGCGTTTCACCTACAGGACGAGCATTCTGGTACGTTTGCTGCCCGTAAATATGTAGAACTTTCTCACAACAAAAATCAGAAAATGTACAACCCCATTCTAGTAACTCTATTGAAACTCCATTAGAGTCAATCCAGCCCTGAAAATACGACCCCATCCAGCGGCACATCCCCATTAGCCTCTTATAAGGAAGTCTACCCTCGGGACAGTAACACTCAAATCTAAGTTGACAGTTTAAAATCATACTCTAGTCTGTGAAACTCAATTATGCCGTCTTAACATGCAAATGACACACAAGTTTCGAGTTTCAAGTACATACGTACAATGATGCTATGAAACTAGAAAAAATAAGAAATAAGCCATTTATAAATCTGAGCATTTGGCTACACTACCTGAATCTACAAGTCTTTTTTGGCCAATGTAAGGTAACCCAAACCAGTTTTGGAGTCTGGCATAGTCTGGATCCCATGCTGTTGATTCCCGATTCCAGGTACGACTAAGTCACTCTGGGATTTTGGGTGATGCTCAATATACCAAGTCAATATATGCACTATTGTGTCGTTCTAATTATATTGTGTGAAGTTTATTATGTTATTGTGTATTATAAAGGGCCAGAGATCATTATTGTGTTCTTTGGGACGTGACTGGAAACTTGGTATTCATTTGATATATCGTGCACCAGGGGTTGCCACAGGTGGGATTTCAGATTCTCAGAGCTGAATACAGGATTTCACAAGTAAAATTTTTTCAGAATGCAGTATCTTGATAACCTTACATGGGCCGAAGTTCTTGCTAATGTCTTTTGTAAGTTTCACTCTTTGACAGTCTTTTAAATTTGAAGGTAATGCTATCGCTAGTAGAATGATCATGTATTTATTTTAACTAAGCAGCCTACTCGGCGCATATCAAACAAGAACTAAAGACAACTGTATAACCGGTACCTTCTTGCAAATACCGGTATTATATTCTATGAATTATGTTCTAATATTTCCATAGCTGGTATAGAGGCAACTTAGGTCAGGCAATTACCTTTGGTAAGAAATTGCAAGTCTTGTGTGTGTATCTTGTAAAGAAAATGCTAACGACTACGATGCGTTTATTATCGTATCTAAAATAGTTTACTCTTTTTTTGAACTGCTTGGCAGTGATGTAGTTCTATTTGTTATGCTTGATACTAGAGAAGCTTTCCACTTTTCTTCTGGTATCACTTTAGCCCAATCAGGAATGGCTGAGGTGGGGAGAGTTATACCTGACATCACTTGTCTGATAAGATCCACTTGCTCTGAATAGAAACAAAAACAAAGATCTCTTATTTTATGGAGACAAGACTTTCTGACTCCCAATCTGTCTGTAATAACCCATATAAATAATTGAAATTCTGCACAGGCAGTTTAAATGGAAAGGTTTCCTTAGTTGACTACCATGCAAGTATTGATTTTTAACAAAAAGCCTTTTGTAGTACCAAAATAATTCCACTACATCTTACAATAACTAAGGATGACTTAGTTTTTACATGTAACCCTGGGACTAGCCCGTGTACAGACCCCCCCCCCCTTAGGAAAAAACAGGGGAAGGGGGGGGGGGAGGGGGGGGGGGGGTCTGTACACATGCTACCCTGGGACGAGGATCCAAACTAATAAGATCCTAACTCAGGATCCCTAACTACCATCCTAGAGGTTCCTTACAAGAGACTCAATTAGCAGTAATAGGGTCCTGATCACAGAGATTTTGCCTGAATTAAATTCCCTGCTCCCACAAACCACTCAAGCCACAAACCACTCAAGCAAGGAAATTGGATCATTATACATTTCTAGGAAACTATCCACCTACAGTATACCCCTCCCCTAAGCCAACATTAACTCTTTCTTCTCACTCAGAGCAAAATGTTGTCTTAGGGGAGGGAGGGGGGGGGCAGTCTCCCAGAAACGTATAATGATCCAGGAAATTTGTGACTCCCAGTGAAAATTGACATAAAAATTTGTGTTTATTTTCATGCAGGTACAATATCTTGCAATACATACAGCTATAGATCCGAGAAAGGTTGTCGGAAAAAATGTGCACGCGACAATCCCAAAAGGTAATATGGGATATGATCAATACACTGTTCCTGACAACTGTAGCTGTCGAACCTACTTTTGTTGCTTTCCTTTAGAACTCGCAAACACATTTCCATGGCCTTTCGTGCCAATTCTTTCAAATTTCTTTGAAAAGAAGAGAACTCAAAACCACCCACAATGCCTTTCAGGATTGTCACGTGCACTTTTCCTGACAACCTTTCTCGAAATAGCTGTATATTTTTCCCACTAAACAGTATAACATTATTTTGGGCTTTTGCTGGATCACTGAAGTTACTAGATGTACATAACAAAGTTAACCTCCCTAAATCTTATATTTTACTGCTTTATAATTATTACCTTGTTTCATTTCTGAATCTTCAGTTCTCTCGGGACATGTTGGTGATGAAGTGTTGCCTGTAGCATTAATGTCACAAACTGGTGTGTTTTCTGTTTCTGTTATTTCTTCCTCTTCCTTTCATATATAAAATAATAACAGCATTGAAACATGAAATAAATAGGTAAATGACCTCTATAATAATAATATTTAATAATAATAAATATTATTTTAATAATAATGGTCTGAAAATGTAATAACCCATATATGCATGTTAAATGTGTCACTTGAGCAAATCTCACCGCCAAGCCTCATTTTTGAAATAATCATAAATTAGCAAGTTAGAAATAGAGTAGAACCCTGGTAACTCAAACTCTGAAGGGAAAGGAAAACCGTTGGGTTAGCAAGGGTTTGAGTCACCCCAGGTTAAAAAATGATAGTTAACGATTTGTCAGCACTTCAGTGTATACATGTAGTGCTACTGCAGTTTAAGATTAACTTATTTCGTGAAACATGGTAAAATGATTGGGCAGTTTTTTATGATAGAAATATGTAAACTGTTAGTTGCACCAATTAATATCAAATGGCTGTAGTGTTAACCAGTGTTGGTTTTACATGTAGTGTTTTTGCTGGATTTATACAACAAGAGGAGCTAATGTGATGGCATCCAAGTAGAGTTACAAGGACCAGAATATGAGTTATTGGGGGTAATTTTCAGTGAGTTTTTGATCAAGGGAAAGGAATTTTAGTTTGAGTTGGCTGGGAATTTGAGTTATCCGAGTTCAAGTTATCGGGGGTCTACTGCATATAAATTTCCAAAGCAATACAATTTGAATAGAATAACCAAACACAAAGAACACAAATTTAGTTCGCAAGTGAAGCCTGGTGCTGAAATGTTCTCCTCTGACATAATCGGAAATGCTGACATTACAGTGTGGTTCTTTAAGTCAGAGGATTCAAACACATTCAACAATTAATGAATGAGGCTGAGTATCTTATGAAGAATTAGAAAGCCGAATTCAATAATTGTTTTATTATTCATTCAAAATAGTTCCTAGTTTAAAAACATAGCTAAAATATGCTTACCTCCATTGATTTTAAATTCCTCTTTGATAGTGTACGTTTAGGGTTGTTCAGCTCCGCAAACATTCTCCAAATAGCAGATGTCGCCCTTCGAGTTGTCTTGTTGCTGTTCTTGTCATTTTTTTAGCTATTATTTCACCTAGTGCTTACTCTTGAAATTAGTGAAATGTCCGCCATTTTTGTTTTCACAACCAAAACAACTCAACCTCATCCCCAGGTCTTCTTGGTTAACAGTGCATTAACCTGCAAGAAGGCTGCACTTTTGATGTCATCAGTTCATTAAATGCAAAATTCTTCCAAATTTGGTCATCAGTAGCTGGTTATGGTGAATTGTGTGTGTGCTTTTAGCCAATCAGAAATGGGGAAATATTTTGAATGAATGAATGATAAATATTATCCCTTTTTGACTGCAATGACTACTCCTGGCACAAAAATGACAGCTGTAGGCTCAGGATTTTCTTTACTGGAAAAATAATTAGTGACTATGGTAAAACAACAATGAGACAATGTCAACAAAGTTCCATCACTTGTTGAGAAATTAAGGTTTTGCTTCTTGCTTCACCTGGCCTAAAAGCCTGCCAATGTGTGTACTCTGAGTAAATATGCCTAGTCTTATTTTCTAGGATCCAATTTAGCCTTTTTATAATAACCACCATTCCTGAAACAACTTTGAATCAAAACGACCAATTTCCCTTTAGACCCAGAAACTGCAGAGATACAAGCAAATGTTATGAAAACACGGACTTTTACAAAGATCAAGGTAAGCATGTTTTCAAGCTGGAAATATTTTGATTGAATTTTGGATTCATCTTTGACTCATATGAAGAATTATGCAGATCACAGAGGGTGTTATCCTTTGTCACCGATGTTTATGATTTTTCATTTCATAAGAAACCCAAATGCAATCACTACTAATAAGCAGAGCAATCTCAGAATACTGATGAGCAGTAAATTACAGTGAAGCTTAACCTACAATTTGTAAGGTTAATTGTTTTTAGCTTAATGAATTAGATATGCTTTATGCATTAATATTAATTAATAAATTAGCTTAATAAATTAGATATGCAAGAATAAATGCTATAAAATTTTCCTATTTCTATAGAGTAGCAAAATCATGGAACTCTCTGCCTTTACATTTAAGAAAAACTGCATCTTTAAGCGATTTTAAGGATCGCATGCAATTTACATAGTTTTTTAAATAAAAGCTCTAATATGTGATACTGTGCACGAGTCCGACTGGTGCCACAGAAGTTTCCTCTAAGATAAACTTCTATTCTTAAATGAGGTATAAATAATCACATACTTGCGATAACCAATGATCTGCAGTTTGTTGGCTTTCGCTTTCCTCCTGAGCCGGCAGTTGAACATATCCTTGGGTCAAGCCGTCTTCCTCGTCGTCCATGTTGTCAGCTTCTTCGTCACTGCTTGATGAATTTTCCAGGATTACTGGCGGTACAGGATCATCTTCTTCCGAATCAGAATGTTCTCCGTCTCTAGGGAGGTCTTTAGGGGAAATCTGTGGCGGCATTACTGGTTTTTCTTCTAGTAAATCGGACATTTAGACCCTGTCACCTCAGAAGAAGTCGCATCATAACAATATTTTCTGGTCAACTTGACGGAGAAGCCCTGGGTACGAGTATGAGCATGAATGACCTGGATTGACTGGTAGGCCCGCAACGCGTGCTAAGATAGAAGGCGATTTGTACGAATATGTTCAAATTATCAACGGCTGAATAATTCTTGTAATTTCTTCAACCGTTTAGTCGATGAATTCTCCCTTCGCTATTTTACTGAAGAAGGTCTAGCGATTGAAATACCAGCTTTATGATGGCAAATTTAGTTTACTAAAAAGAAGTAGCCTGAATTTCATCCGATTACGTCGAGTCGTTATAATCAGATGAATTTCAGGCTAAAAAAGAAGCTATTAAAACAAGTTTGAAAGTTATTCTAAAACCAGGTTCACTACAATAAAAAAGGGACTATAAGCAGATGTACATGGAAAGCTGCTCCTCCCTGCCAAGCTGTTCTCCCTCTTTACCTTTTCGCGCGTTACTGTGTCAATAATTAACAATTATTCTTTGAAACCGAGGTGGTAAGTGGCAAATATTTACCGAGCCGCCGTAATATTCCTAAGGCCCACTATTTACCGAGATTGAAAAAAATTATTGTTATACATACAAAGTTCTCTTAACCAAATAAGAGAAGAAAACCATTAAAAGAGCAAAGTTTGGTTGACGGGCTAATTAATGCGTGAACATGCAACCGTATGTTCAAAAGTTAGATCTCTATAATTTTTTTTTTCTGTGAGCTTCAACATCAACGGTTTAAAGGAAATCTTCAAAAGTTTAAATCTCAGCGAAATTTTGTTGAGCTTTATTTGCTTCTGTGAATTCACCCATCAAACAAGTCTGCTTTCTCGATTCGTGTAAGTCTCTGAAGTCTTCACAGCGTAGCTTTACTAAATTTTTTTGATCAATTTGGGTTTCTGGGAAACTGCCCACCTACCCCTCCCCTATGCCATCATTTTGCCCAAAGTGAGAAGTAAGAGTTAATGTTAGCTTAGGGGAGTTGTAGATGGGCAGTTTCCGAAACCTAAATTGATCCGATGTTTCTTTGCCTTGTCTACTTACTGGCACGCTTTCGTTTTTCTCTGCATAAATTGCGGACCTAATCAGTTCACAAAAGGGCCTCATTCGCATCTGAAGTTGTAAACACTTAATAAATTGAACAAAAAAGACACCCAGTAAATTAATCATTTCTTGCCTCTTGCGAAGCAATCATCAGGCAACTACCAAAAGTAACGGTTACAATCAAAGGTATAGGAAAAACAAACAATAAATATTATAGGCGCGCCGCGTGGCGTATTGTCAGCCTGCGTAGCAAGCGTTTCCACTCGGATGATATTCTTCAGCAACCTGGTGTTGACATCCCGCTGTTCCGATGTTTGCTAAATGAGACCATCGATCAGTTGAGCAAAAAGAAAATACCTGTTTCCGATCAAAGTAAGGAGATGATTTTCCACCAACAATGATAAAACTTCTGAGTTTTTCATTATTCCTGTCCCTTCTTAAAGCTTCCCAAGGTAGGTAAATTGTCATAATATTATTGAAGCTTAATTCTAGTAATCCTTGCCAGCAATTGATTCATTTTATTCATTATGTAAGGGCTTTTTTAAATTTAAGGCTTGATTACAGTTAGTAAACAGTAACTTTAAAGCAACTTTTATCATAGTCTGTTTTGAGAAATAAGGCTCATTTCGTCATTTTTAAGCACTTTCTTGAGTCGAAGTTCTAAGTAAAAATTTTATATCCGTGTCTCGCCAAAAACAACAAAGTCATAAAACAAAGAATTTTTTTTGTCATTAGGTTTTTTTCACATTCAGGATATCGATTAGACTTGAGATTTAATTCATTTTCAGACTACTGACCTCGGTTAAATATAAGGTTTATTCATTTTTAGTTCACAATTCATTCAGTAATTTAAATTGTTTTTCGACGTTAACTTAGGAAAAAAAGTAATACAAACTTTTTTTGTCTTTAGTATATTTTAATCTTTTATCAGATTTATATATTTTTAAATTTACTGTGGTACGTTGTAGTAGCAAGAAAATTATAGGGCTTCAATCCCGTTTAGTGTTTAAAACAATTGTGAAATTATTCAGTTGAACTATCGAGTGTTAACATTATAAAATATTGATAAAAATTTCCAAACAGATGCCTTAACAGTCAAAACTTACAAAAGTTATCATTATTGTGAGCCTTGTATAAGAAAATAAATGTTATTCTGATATGACTTTTCCTAAACACAACGATATATTCGGTCAGAGAATGCATGTATTTTGGCATTCATACGTCAGGTTTCTTTAACCAAACTCCGTGCATGCCTCCTTAACAACGGACATGATGATAGTTACAACACAAGGTATATAAATATTTAAATGGAAAAATACTTAACAATTATTGCACAAGGATATGTATGATATAAAGAATTCATACATATCGAGGAGTTGTTTTCACATGGTTATCGGTCTCTACGTCGAAAACTTTCGAACTCCCTAAATGTGAATCCTTCATATTAAACGAATTTAATTCATTCAATAACTGTTTTGTTATTTTTCATTCAAACAAAATGTTTCCCGCTCAAACCATGCTTTACTGCTAGATATAAAATTTCCGTTCCTTTCTTCTTTTCCTCGGCAGGCAGGATATAACGGTTTGTTTTCTCTACCCGATATTCTTCAATAGTTTTTGTTCAGTATATTTGGTTTGTTGGACTATTTCGTTTTCGGAAAGCGGCATTTCCACCATTTTTTTCCTTCTGCCAAAGGAGCTGAGCCACCCCTTCGCTTTTTTGACTGAGTTTTTCTGTGCGTCCCATTAATTTTTAGCTCTTTTTTTAGTCTCGTATTTTGCTATTTCTTACATCCACCCATACCCTCCTGGACTAACTAAAAGTAGCTTGTTTGCTTATCTCTTTGAGAAAACTACAAACATCAAACGACAACGGTTGAATTAATTGAACATCAAACCTACATTGAATTAAAAGTTTTGTTAAATATTACATACATCGAGTCTTGGTATTGAAATCGGTCGCTAATTAAAGTGAAGTGACCTTCGTTCACGTTTAAAGTCATTCAGAGAAACTAAAGACGTCTCGAATATGATTCGAAGGGGAGTTCCATACCCAGAGGGAGGGGGGGTGAAGGGGGTGGAAGGGATGATAGAATGGGGGCAAATATGAAAACCTCTAGGGCTACAAACAAAACCCCCCAAAATCCCTGGACCAAAATTTAACCCCCGATGTCCGATGTCTGATGTCCGATGTCCTTTGTTGATGTCTGATGTCAAATGTCTGATGTCCCTTGTCCGATGTCTGTTCTCTGATGTCTGATGTCCGATGTCCGATGACTGATGTCCGATGTCCGCTATCTGTTTTTTGATGTTTGATGTTTGATGTCTGTTTCCGATGTCTGATTTTCGATGTCCAATGTACATGTCTGATGTCTGATTTCTGATATCTGATGTCTGATGTCTGATGTCTGATGTCCGATGTCCGATATCCGATATCTGTTGTTTGATTTCAGTCGTCTGATTTTCTGTGTCCAATGTCCCATATCCGACGTCTGATTATTTCTGATGTCTGATTTCCTAGGTTTGATCTACGATGTCCGATGTCCGACGTCTTGATGTCTGATTTTCGATGTCCGATGTCCGATGTCTGATTTTCGATTTCCGAAATCCGACGTCCGATGTCTGATTTTTGATGTCGGATGTCGGATGTCTGATGTCTGATGTCTGATTTGTTTTTGGGTATGGTCACGCATGCCAATATAGTTGAAACAAAAGAAAAGTAGAACTCACCTGAGATAAAAAATTAAGTACGACATATGTGACACTTTCTTATCTGTTTTTTTTTTTTTCACAGGTCTCGATTTTTTGACGCAACTCATTTTGATTACAATCAACGAGGAGGAACCTGTAGGTAGGTGGATTTTGTTGCACTATGGAGCATTTTCACATGACGTTACGGCGGCCATATTGGTGTTCCAAAACAATGAAACGGCGGCCATATAGGAGTACCCAGAAAATCCTCTGGGAGTTGAACTCTTTTGTCATGTAAATGCTTTCTTTTGTTCCAATAAATTAGCATAGAAGCTGGCCTCGTGAGTGAAAACACCCTATTACCCTTCATTATTCGAAATTGTCATGGCCAGTTTCTTTTGTTTACTAAAATTTGGTCTTAACATTCTGAATTAATTTTGTAAGGAAAAACAAGGTAATTCTCGGAAAGTATTCAAATAGAAATTCCATTTCAATTGTAAGCAGTCATCATAAACTCATCAAGTCAGGTGATGAATGGAGCGACAGATTCCTTTCCTTTTGATTGGTTGCAGAACATGAACACTGATCTAGAACCAGACTCCTTGTAGTGCAAGCCATTGAGGGCGTGGATGCTAAGCTTGAAAAATGGCGGATTGTGTTCTGTTTTCCTGAAAACATTTGAGTCATTTGTCGCGATTTTTTGCCTTTCAGGTTCATTTGTTGCTCAAGCACTAGCGGGACCTAGTCCTGTCAGATATGAGCTCGGCGCTGGAGCAGCGCAGTTGTTCGTCATCAACAATGCTACGGGAAACATTACCATACGGAGTCACATCGATCGAGAGGTTTGTTCTAAAGACGTTTTGGGTTGTGGGCTTTGAACCATAGCCTTCAAGATAATGTACATTACCTTAAGGCTAAGGTTAACCTTGTTTTATACAAACCTCTATTGTTTACTGATGAAAATTATGCTTTAAATATACTGTTACAGGTCAAAATTAAATCCAGGTTAAAACTTTTTAACTTAGGTTGATTCTCAATTTTCTGTGTTTCCTAATCCTAATTCCTGAATAATTAGGGTTAGGAGACAAAGGAAACTGAGAATCAACCTAGGTTAAAAAATTTTAACCTGAATATAATTTTGACCTGTAACATACACATGTACTACAAGTAGTAAAAATGATAACAACATGAAGAAAGCAGGGTTGTATCAAATAGAAAAAGGTCACCTCCAGCCCCA